GTTTTTCATATTTTTTTTTTTCAATACGCTGGCCATCTTCCACTGAGGCAGGGTGATCCAAATGAAGAAAAACTTTTATCATCATTCACACAATCATTGTCTTTGCAGAGGTGTTCAGATACAACAATTCAGATGTCACTCCAAACAGCAAATATCCCAAACCCCTCCTTTAAAGTATAGGCATTGTACTTCCCACCTCCAGGACTCGAGTAGAGCTAACTGGTTTCCTTGAATCCCCTCACAAAATATCACCTTGATCTGGTCACATTCCAACAGCTCTTCAAGTTCCAAAAACCATTCTTCTTCACTCACTCCTATCTAATACACTCACACATGCCTGCTGTATGTCCAAGCCCCTTGCATACAAAACCTCTTTTACCCCCTCCCTTCATCCCTTCCTAGGACGACCCCTACCCCTCCTTCCCTCCACTACAGATTTATACACCCTCCAAGTCATCTTTTGCTCCATCCTCTCTAAATTTATCCAGAGTTCCTAACTCTACTTAGTGCTAATGTGTGTTACATCCCAATTTTCAGATCATACCTTGTGCAATAATACTCAACTGTGCACACAGGATAAGCAAAACCATGCACAAGCAACTCCACAAAAACCTTGGTATTTCAGCTTTATTTTATATTTAATTATATGGGAGTGGCACCATGGGTACACTGTACATTTTAAGGTAAGCTTAAATTTAAATTTTGTATAGCATAAAAGTCTATTGTAGTAGAATTACTAACCAGTATTCAGCAGAACTTCAGAACACAGAATGGAACGTCAACACAACTACTTTCCTAAACCAAACAAAAATACTGAAGCAAAATTAATCCATAAATAATTACACTTACTTTTTTCTTGCTTTGGTAGGTTTGCATTGAATGTAAGCTTCTTTGGTGCGACTGATAGCTTGAGTTTGGATAGGGCAGATGATGGTGAAAGTGGGGAATCAAGTCGTAATCTCTCCTCATTAAGTGCCTGAATCTTGTGGGTGTTGGTGGACTGTGAGAGGATAGTGCCATCTTCTGCAGATATAGGTAAAAGAGGAGGTAGGTGTAGTGGATCGAGACAATTTCTGTAGACAGGACAGGATCTGAGGATGTCGCAGCAACCCGGCTAGGACATTGAGTTAATTCTAAACTTTTTGAGGCTCTTGAGGAAACTGATGCATTATTGTGGGAAGTGGGCGATAAATCAATTTGTAATGCCTTTATTGCCTGACTACGTGTACATACAGTACGCTTTAAAGGTGTGGTGAGAACAGAAACTGTGTCTGAAAACACCAATATGGCCATTCATCATTTTTGTGGGTGTACTTGGTGCAGAAGTTGGGCAGAGGCCGGCTTAGCTGAGCACTGGTCAATTCTGGATCCATTTTGCAGCTTCCCTGTATAACTGTTGCACCTTCAACTTCAGCATCATCAGCCGCTGGAGGAGACCTAGAATGACAATTTCATTTGTGAAAAGACAGTCAGATGAAATAGAAAATAAAATTGGAATAGTTTTTCTTAAAGACACAAGTAGCAGAGCAAGCCGTGTTATTAGACCGTTTTGCTCTAAAGGTGATTTATCAAGTCAATACAGAATCTATATTCAAACATCATTTAAAGTGTAAATTTTGTAGAATGATAAATCCCCATTTAGGATGAAACATGACTAAAAAAAATCCTCACTGTTGGGAGAGTTTTGTTTTACACTCCTAGATTATTAGCTACTTGTCCTTCATTACATGAAAAACAGCGAATAAAAGATTTAAGGCCACTTAACCACTATATTATGTCCAATTGTTCAATATGACATTTTTAGTATATTTTTAAATATTTATACATTAGTGTACTGTATAATGTAATAAACAGAACAGAGGAAATCAGCTCTAATATACATTATTAAGTATGCATACTAGTCAGAGAGCCCATTTTAAGTCTCAGTCATCGGTACATGAGTATGTAAGTTGCTAAGTGAAAAGAGGCTGTAAACGGTATGACTTTTTTTTTTTTACCATTTTGGTCTTTTAAGTCTATGCACAAGGAATACTTATAACACTACAATTGTTTCATTGTAATACTCCTCAAAACATGGAAATAAGTAACCCCGTACCTGAGGGGGATATATCCCAAGTACCTGTAGCGGATTCCGAAACCATGGATAGTAGCAAACCCTATATGCAAGTCCTTTTTCGTTTACATGCGTACCTATTATAAAGCTTAACCCTTTCAATGTCAATCCCATTATATCATGGTTTTGAAGCCAGAGTTAGTCCCATAGCATGATGCCATGAGCTTAACTAACTCAGATAAGCTTTGAGTGGTAAATCTGGGCCTAGATATGAGAGAATGGGTCTATGCAGTAATTGTGCACCATATGACATCACTTGTCCAATACATGTCCAACTGGCCAGCCTAATATGAATTTAGGAATGCATTGGCTTTATTTATACATTACAATAATACATATTCTGCATAACAGTAAGTCTGTTTTCTTGAATAAAACTTCAAAATGAAAAGCAAAAGTAATACAAGAGGGGCTTGGAGACTGCATCAGGAACAGAAATGTTTATTTAGTGCCAGTCATGTCTACACTGTTTATTCTGGACCCAATATTCAAATTGGCAAGTGCTGAATTATACACGAAACTGGCCAAATTAACGATTCCGATCACTCTATTGGATAGTTGAAATAGAATAGAAGGAATAGCAAAATAGTTATGAGTTTGGTGGACTGGAACAATGGAATTGGCCAAAAATAGAGCACAATGCGGACGAAATCACTGATGCGTAAATAGTGCCGAGACCGCTAAATTTGCGACAGCATAATTCCACAAGTTTTCTATCGAATTTCATACTTTTAGTTTCATTACCTTCAGGAAAAAATTATCATTCCATAAGATAAAATAATTTTTTTTTTTTAAATTCTTCGACCAATAGCAAACTGAGAGCAGGAGTCTCAACACTGAAAGGGTTAATTGATAAATTATGTTCATTAAGTGGAGAAATGTCAGTTTTCACTGATGGGAATCACTTCACAGCTTCTCCTAGGTTTTTAAGAACTTCCACCATCACTACTTTCACACTCTGAGACCATTGTTAAGCAAAATTAAGGATTAATTTTGGGCCACAGTAAACGGGTGGGTAACTGAAACCGCAGATACCAAACCCATAGATACAGGGGTCTTACTGTATTTTATAACTGTTATTTTATTACATTTTTTCTATTATTTTAGTTTTCTAAGGCTATGAATAATGAGTACAGACTCCCCTACATATGAACATTCATGATGCGAACTTTCAATAATACGAACAATTTGCAGGAAGCGCAGAGATGTAAATGATACATAGTAGGTTACTCTAGTGGCATCATTCATGTGTGTGCTTGTGCTCTCTCCACATATTCAGTGTTATTTGTGATTACTGTACCATAATATGTCTGGTTTTAGCACAAAAGTAGTGGTGATGCAGGTGGTAGTGCTAAGAAGTGCCAGGCCATCACAATGGAAACAAAAGTGGACATAATAATGTATTTTATTATTTTTACCATGTTCATATACATACATGTTTACACTATGTACACTTCTAGGTTACTTGATGTTCACACGTACACATACTATACAGCCTCTCCTCACTTACAGACGTATTTGTTTACCGACGACTCAGATTTACAACGTGCTCTCTGACCAGTATGCGTACTTAAATAATGTATATTAGAGCCGATTTCTTCTATTCTGTTTATTAGAATATACAGTACACTACTGTATAAACATTTAAAAATATATCAGAAAAGTTATAAATGGTGCAAAGGTGAGATTAAAATAATATCAAAGACGATTGACATACCCACAACCATTATAGTATGCTCCTCACTTAGTGACGAATTCGTTTACCAACGTGGTCTTAGGAACAGAACCCCATCGCTAAGTGAGGAGAGCCTGTATTACTGTGCAATACTGTATACGTACGTATGTTGGACCTAAGAACAAATTGACTTACTAACGATTGCTTGGAACCGAACCTGTTCCTAAGTAGGGAAGTATCTGTACTTATACTACAATTATTTTAGAGTATAATATTCATCAAAACTTGGAAATTATTCATATTGTTTGATTTCGCTGGGTTATCCTAGGTTATATACCTAGCATTAGTATCACGAAATTGAAATAAATTTCGATAAATAAGTCATCTATAAGCCACTTGCACACACAGTTTTTTGGTAAGAAACTGGTGATTGAAAAACAGCTCCTGGTTCATTGTTTACTTCTGTTAGTGAGGCGTACTGTGCATCAGACATACAGTCATTCCATGAGTAGTTGACCATGATATGTTGCGTGCACCCTGCGACCTTAGATTTTTTTTCAAATGTATGAACAGATGGAAGACGACACAGTTATGTCAAGGTAAAAAAATACTGGCAGGTGGCAGATTTGTGAATACAAAAAATGGTGAGTACTATTAGACACAGTACCACCACCTGCATGCTAGTATGTTGGACACAGTCACAAGGTTAACGGTTAAATAGAACTAGTACAACAGAGCATAGAGAAAAGTACAGTATTTACATTCACCACTGGTACTGTCATACTCACTGGAAATTATGCTTTTACAACTCTAAATGGTTCCTCCATTCAAAGAGAAATTCCTGTTCATACATAATTAACAGGATCTTCTAGTGCCATGATCATAAGTGCAGATTATCATAATTTAGGGACTTACTGTACTACCTAAATTGAGCTCCATAATTAGTCACCCATCTGAGTACTAACCAGACAAAGTATTGCATGCCACTAATAAAATGTCTGAGAATTAAAATGTAGTTACAGTACCTTGAAGGAGAAAAATAAGCAGTCATTTTGGTTTCCTTTTTAGCAATGGTGCCTGTGTGACCTAATTTACTGCTTGATAAAGTGCCATTGACTATTATGGCTTCTAGTCTAGAATCTTTTGGTCCCTTAGGTCCATCCAGGTGATTGATCACAACATTTTCATCTTTGCTGCTGCGCACTGTTCGTTTTCCTGAAAAATATTTCGTTATTAGTGACTATTAGGTATAAAGTACAGCAAAAGTACTAATACACATTTACAAATACTGTATATTGTGGGGAAATCTTTTACGGTAACTGTGTAAAAATTAGAGGTAGAAAAATTTTTTAAATATGTGGTGACCCTTGGAAAAAACTATTAAATTTTGGGTCGGGGGGGGAGAAATATGCGTCCTATACTACCATCCATTTTTTTATGGCTCTCTTTAACCCTTTGGGGTTTTCTGACGTACTATAGGTTTTACGACCAGGGTTTTTGGGACGTACTAGAACGCCTAAATTTTGGGCCCTTCAAATCAAATGAGAAAGTTGGTAGGCCTACATATGAAAAAATGAGTATGTGGTCAGTGTGATGGTATAAAAAAACCCTGCAGCCACGTGCATGGGGGAAAAAAAAAACCCGACCGTGTTTTTGGTTTTTAAAACAGAGACTTTGCGTGTTTTTTCATATGGTTTTATGGTGTTTCAAGTTTTTTGGTCTTTTTTGAGTTGAAGCCCTATTACGAAATTGAGATGTTTTTGAGGGTTTTTTCATAATAAAAAAATCCTTGAATTGGCCCCTAGCAAAAATTGTTCGTTTTTCCCAAAATTTAAAAAAGTAAAAAAATCACCCAAAAGCGTCCAATACAGTAAAGGGGGGGAGTCAAATTTCTTTCACAAGGCATTATATGATTTATACCATTTTTCACAATGCGTATAGTCGCAAAACAGTAAATCTTTTTTTTTTTGTGAGAAAAAAAATTCAAAGTGGAAGCAAAAGAGATGTAAGGGGGGCTGGGGAGTGATAATAAAACAGAAAAAATGTTTTTTTTGTGCCGGAATGTCTGTCTTGCTTATTTGGACCCTATTTGGAATTTTGGCATCTTCTGAAATTTGTGTGAAATTTGGCCAAAATCCCAAAATTTGACCTTTTTGGTACTTAAAATCTGAAATGGGTAGTTTCTTGCATATTTGATAGAAAAAATGGGTTCTAGCGAAGTGATTGATTTTTGTCGATGTACATAAAATTTGGGCCGAAAATAGGGCTCAAGGAGCAAAATCATGTGAGTAAACATGTTGGGGGCCGTTAACTTCGCGAGAGCATAATCCAAAAGTTTTCCATAAATTCATAATTTTTTGGTTCATTATGATCGGGAAAACTTTTCTCTTCATTTATGAGAAAATTTTTTTTTAAAAAAGTTTTGACCCTGAGACGAGTTTAGGAGGGGCTTCTCCCCAAAAGGGTTAAATGTTATCAAATTTTTTGACACTGCAATTAAAAATTTTAAAGGAAAAGATTTGGGCATAAAACTCCTAAGACCTGTGAATGAATTTCTTTGTGGGAAACAAAAAAGGAATTTCATTTTCCCAATAAGATTTATGGCCCAAATTTTATTTTTTTTTAAATATATGGGCTCCCCCCGAGGCTGGGTACCTAATGCGGAAAAGCTGCCCACCGGTTCCCTCCCAAGCCCTTCTTCGACAGTGTCGGCTTTGGGGGTAGAGCCCCGTTTCGAGGCGGTTGTATTAAAACCCGGCCTTAAATATGGGACGGAGGCCCAACCGCAAGAGCCGCCATGCATTCCTCCCCCTGTGCCCCCCCATTCCCTTTCGTTTTTGGGAACCCAACAACTAAAAACCCTCGGGGCCAAATATAAGCCAGCTCCGGTTCCCCCTTCCTTTTCCCCCGTGTAGTCGAGGAAGCGGGGCAGCCCAGTGAAAGGAAGGGGACTTGGGGGCAAAGATTTTCCGATCTTGAGTGTCCGCTCAACCCGTGCTGCCCCTAGATCCCCGGATGGTTTGGAGAGGGTCAACACAGGATCAGGGCCCAAGGCCCTGTCCGAACACAGCCCCCACAGTCAGGAGGTTGGCTAAATCAAGGGCTGATGTGACAGCAGGCAGGAAAGATGTTCTTGTCATTGGGAAAAGCGCCGTAAGCACTGTCGAGCAACTGGGAGAAAAGCAAAGTCTTCATCCCCCACAGACTCGAGGCGGAGGAAGAGGGGAAAGACAGCGGGTGTGCCACTGAGAATGAAGCTGCCCCGGCCCTCTGCCTTCGCCCTTCTTGCCTTTTCTTTTTTCTTCCCGAAGTCGCTTCCAACTCTCCCTTCCACTTTCATTTGTTAGGGTAGACATGTCGGGAGGCGACACCCTGCATTGCAATTGGTAAACTGCAATCCTCTTGACAGCCCATCTGTCCAAAGGGCTTCTGGCCCCGATGTCAAAGAGGTCACAGAGGAATTTGGAAAAATCTTTGCTTGCATTTCATTCGCGTTAGATCTTTTAAGGTTCTGGCTTTCCCCGTTAATGTCCCCAAACTTCCAATGCGGGAATCTAACCGCTGTGTGGGGATCCGCCTGTCCTGATGGCACAGCAGGCTTCACAGGATTTCTTAAGTTTTTTGGGGGAAAGGTAGGTTTGCTTCAGGTGAAAAAATTGTGACATGCGGAGTAGCCCCCTCGCATCGGAAGCCGGGAGTTGAAAAAAATCGAGGAGACACCTAAAACCCACCACTGTGATGCCTTTGTGTACTCGGTGCTGAGGAGCCATCTGCGATAGGGGAAAAACCAAGATAAAGTTTTGCACCCCCTTTAAAATATGCATAAAATTCAAAATTTTGGCACACAGTACAGGCTCACCCAGTGGAATAAAAATTACATTGGGAGCAACTTCCTTTGAATTTTTAAAATTAAATTTGTTTTTTGGGAAAGAAATCCCCAAGAGGGCCTACATCACAAGGAGGAAAAGGCACTCCCAGGACACAACCCAATGAAAGACATAAGAAAAGAGGACACTGCAGCAGGCCTTTTGGGCCCATCTGGGCAGTCCTTTCAACCCTTCCCACTAACAAAATTTTTCCCCAAACCCAATTACAGGCTCCCCAAGAAAAAAGTTTTGATGACTAAAATTTATAATTTTTCCCCAAGTCTCTCTCAAATAAACCCCTTCATTTCAGATTTATCAACCCTAAAATTAAACCCCCAAATTTTCCTTTCAATAACCCCTTGCAATGTCCATATCCTCCCTATTTCCCAAACCCCTTATTTTTACCCTTTTTGTTAAAACCCAAAATTAAATATTTTGGGGTTCTTTTAAACCAAACCCCCTTTTTTTTTTTTTTCCCCCTTTTACCCCCAATATCTTACGCGTAGGGGTTTTTGACGTATAGTACGAAAAATTTCTAGCGGCCCAAATCCGCGAAAAAAGGGCTGATAGGCCTAGGTGTGGAGAATGGGGTCTGCGGGGGGTAGTGGCGCGTTAGGAAAAAAATCTGGGACCCGGGGCATTGGGGGGAATCCCTCTTTTTAACAATGTCACCACCCCTCCGGTAAAGAAATCCTCCTCCTCGGGGAATTGGGACACTTTTGTTCCCAGTGAAGTTTAATAGTGTGGAAGTGCCCCTAAAGATGAGTTTCGGGGTTTTAGGAGGTTTGACGAAATAAAAGCCATTTAAAATCGGAATGTGAAGAAAACCAGACGACCCCCAGCCTTCCCCCTCTGGTGCTGGGCCCCCGTGTTACGTTCGTTGTTTTCCCGAACCCCAAAAGGGGAAATTCCATTTTCCCAATCCCCGACCAGATGAAGCATGGGGATGATAGTGATAGTGAAAATGGAATACAAGCTTTCAAACTGTTCCCGTAGTGATGTTTAAATGCAATATTCCCAGTGAAGCGTCAGTATATAACGATATATGCGCTCTGGAAGTGTGCCATATGCTATTTCCCAAAGGGGAAGGGTGTTTTCGGAGTACTCCCCTGGCTGTACCAGGAAAAGACAGTGAAATTGACAAAGATACTGTTGCAATTGGGGGTGGAAAAAGTGCGTGGTGGGGAGTGGTGCGGCGGTGAGGCCCGCAGTGGGCCCTGCTGCCCCCCACGCCGCTGCCTCAGCTGATCTAGAACAAAAGGGCCACCCCCCCCATCCCCCACCCCACCAGCCTCCAAACCACCCTCCCCAAACACAACCCCTGTCATTGTCCATTTCCCACCAGCAGCCGCACCCGGGATTTGGGGGAGCTGTCAATTTTTTTCAAAACCCCCCAGTTTGATGGCAGCCAAAGTGGAATACGGCCCTCTTTTGCACTTGGGGAAAAATGCCCCTGAATGGAATTTTCGAGTTATTCTTTGACGAACCACTGAGAAAAAATATTGTCTGGAAAGCAACACAAAATACGAGTCCATGGCAAAAACAATACTTTCACCCAAAAAAACGTTCACCAATGGAAGGAGGCAACTGTGGTGAGCGTTCTTTTCTTTGCCAAAAATCTTATGCCCAAAGTGTTAAGACAAAGTGAAAACATCTGGTCAACGACCCCCCGATTTTCAAAAAACCCCGGTTTTGTGTAAATGCCGTGAAACGTTTTTTGCTAAGTTACGTATGCTTCATTCTAGTTAAAAAACCCGGCCTGCGAAAAATGACAGGTTATTAAGATTAGGGAAGTGTTTGTGTTCTGAAACAGAATTCGTATCATTTTTATCCCTTCAGGAAGTTTTAATTGACGAGCTTTTTTCTGTTCAAAGGAAGACTCTCTTTCAAACGTAAATTTTCCAAGCAAAAGGAACGCTTTGGTTAAGTTGTTTTGCTTTGTGTTGTTTCAGTGGTTGGGATTGGTATTATTGTGTACAGGGAAATTTACATTGCAAAATACAGGAAGTTTTTGGGATCTAGGTGATGTGGTTCGAACAATGACGAATCTACCTTGGTTTGGGGCATTATTTATATACAGTAACTGGTCACAAACCCCCCACTCAGTGATTTTTTGGAGTGAACATGACAAGTGTGTGGGGACGTGGGCAAACGAAAAAATTTGCCCCGGTTTGAGCTGGGATCGAGAGGTGGGTGCAGGCGTTTGCTGCCCAAAGCATCAGGATTTCGGGGGCATGCAAACGAGTGTCACATGTTGTCATAATTTACCTAATGAAATGGCAGACAGTGGAGGCAGCATAGAGGAAAATGAAAACCTTCTAAAAACCCGCACTGTATGATTTCACCTTC